TAGATTATACAAAACATTTGCCGAAAATGAAATAAATTCACTTCTAGGTGGTAAGAAACCCAAAGTCCATTGACGATCTGTAACTTTAGTCAACAGATTTTGGATTTAAATTGAAGAAAGAAAATGTGTACTCTGGATTCCAGGTTCATCAAAATGGCAGACTTTGTCGATTGTTTAGCACGGTCTAGCTGTACTTGGTCAACTGCATTTAAGAAGATGAGGAAAAAAAGTTGGTTCAGCAAAAAAATTATATGAATGAGATTACCAAAATTACCATTAGCATAACTTCTTCCCCTACTTTGATTACAAACAACCACCACTATGAATGGAGAAGAGGAATGCAGGTTTCAATCATTCAAGAAAAATTAGGAGACTATTACAGCATCCATCCAGAATTAATAATCAAATCAAAGAAAACAATATTCAGCGAAGTCTATGGCCAACCTTCTCCTGGAGTAGCAACTGAAACGAGTTCTCTAACTGCTATATCAATGGCATTTGTCGCAAAATCAGATCCCTGAATCCAAAAGTGGTTTAATCATATACAATTTAAATCCAGAAGGATAAAAGAAAGCCATAGGCCTTGTATGGGAGGAATTAAAATCGGATTAAAATTGAAAATATAGCCGTTATTGTTGACTTTTATTAGACGGGTAGGGCCCAATAACGGCCATATTTTCAATTTTAATTGGATTTTAATCAATCCCGAACGGGCCTATAATATGGCAAGTAAAAAGGGCAATGGCTAGTTGCCTAGTCAAGCAACTTGCACTAGATTTTGCTTTTATTTTTCTATCGATGATCTGAAAAAATAATGACTTCTCTTATCACCAGAAATTATAATATATTTTACTGAGAAATCAGGAACTTAAAAGACAATACACCTTGGTCACATCATAGTAATTAAAATAATCCCTCCACATAACATAGAGATTTTAAATGGTTTTGGGTGGAGAACATTTGGAACATCTTTTGGTAGAATCCAGAATCCTTTAAAGTATGCAGACCCAAAAATAACAATAAACTCAACCAAGTACTTGTTCTCCAGGTACACAGGCATTATAAAGGTCTTGTAAGACATATATGCACAATAATTAAGCCTTACTCCCAATAAATGTGGGATCGCCTTGCCATTCTGTTTTGTTTGTTGGTAGATCTACGGAGAGATCTAAAGAAACTAGATTGTATATATATGCACATCAATCAAAATTAACTTGCAGCAACATGCATGACTTTTCAGTCCAATCTCAGAACTCATTCAAAAGTCGGAAAATTTAATGCCAATGACCAATTTTGCAAGCCAAGCATGCTAAAAGTAGTGACAAATAGGATATTTAGAAAAGATTTCTATCCCTAAACACAATACTTGCCTAATGAAAAGCATAGCATCATATTTGTAAATTCTGTCTACTGTGACAAAATGCATTGCTCTCAACATGTTGACTACAACAGATTATCCTTCAAAACCATACCAAAATGGTTTTTAGTGCTTCTGGGTTCAAAATGAAGAAAATAAAATAATCCAAGAAAGCCATCAAGAACCTACAAATTTTTCATTTCTACATAATCAATTGAAAATTCAAAGATTTTAACATTTAACCCATAATTAATTTGCCATCAATTTACAGGTCAACCCAGATTCGACTATAAGACAACTTGGTATTTTCTCCCACTTTAACGTAGGATAAAAGTAGTTCTTAATTTCCTAGGTCACATTGATTTGATGCTCTCCAAATCAAATTGAGTGAGGTTTCGTTCAGTATTATGTCCATCTTTCAGGGTTTATGCGTGTATAACTGTATTTTTATTTTCTAGGTTCACCATTGCCCGCATCCCTCTCATGCCTTGTAACCTCTATACAAGGACATTTTTCCTTTGTTTCTTCATCAATCCACTACCCTCTTGCTGATATACATCCACTAATTTAAAAAGTGAGGCTGTTAAGTGTTTCACAGCCAGAAACCTTTTAAAGTACGAAACCTAAATGTTCGAAGGATTTTATAAACATCCCTAATAAAAAATGAAACAAATGGAAGGATAAAACAAGAAAAGAATAACCCATCATAATTGAAATAACATAGAACAAATTGATCCAAACAGCAAATATTACATATAAGAACTGCAACATTACAGGTAAAAAATAATTCAATAAACAAACTCCTTGTAAAATAAAAATAATAATAATTAAAATACTTCCTTACAGTTGAAGCTTGAATTCCAAATAATCCAGTATGATTGTAAATGGAACTGAATGCAGAAAAGGACTGTATCTGGGGATGCTCATTGAGGACACGCAGATCTGCTCATCAATAGAAAAAGCATATGAATAAATTGACGAATCTATTTTCAAATAATTATATGCAGAAATGAAGACGCCATAATGCAAAATGAAACTCAGCACATATAATAAGATGGCATAGATGTGCATTCGAACACATTAATAGGTGAGTTGTGCGTTACACATCAGTGGATATCCACATTAGTTTTTCAGATACAATAAACATGACTTACATAATCTCGAGTACATTCCCTTTCCAGGACCGCCAGCTGAGAAAGATCCACCTCCTCCCATAAGCATCTATGGAACAAATATCATCAGAGTTTCCTCGCAAGATAACGCAGGAAAAAAATGAAGAAGAAGAAGAACCAGAAGGCAGGAAATGAGAAAGATAAAGAAACAAGCATTTGCGTTACCTCCATTCAAAATAAGCATTAGATAGAAAGAAGTATATGCAAATAAATCATTGGATACTTGCTGAAATTCATTGATTAGTGATGTGCCTGACCTCATGAGGCCTTATATTCCAAAAAAGTAAAAGAAGGACGAATCAATGGTTAAAAGAAAGAACCTGAAGAACGGTCAAAATTATGGCATCCTTTTCCTTGGCCCAGCCTCCAGGAAGTTCGAAGGCAAGAGCAAAGTGAGTCATCTGGTCAGAACCGGAATATCATTGTTACCGCTATTTTAAATCAATATTCAAAATACAGGTTCATAGCAGGAAATGAAATATAACAGGACACTTCAGATACACACCCCTGAATCTCCTTGATGGCGAAAATCACCACCAGTGTAAACAGGCTTTGGCTCCGAAGGGCGGGGTACATTGGGTAAGTCAGATAGAAGTGGCTCTGCATATTTTATTAGCTCGTCATGGTCAACACCTGACGCGGCAAGGACTATCCTGGAAGCAGTGTAATTTTCCTAAACAATGTAAAACACAATTAGCATAAATTTGTCCTTAAAATGACTGTAAGGATCTGAAAGGATGGAAAAGGAAAAAATGAAGGAATTATGGAGAGTCGGTAACTCACAGCAACAAACTCCTCCAAAACTGTACTATTCAATCTGTTTACTGCAGATTCTGAAGCCAAAAGAGAATTTGCATAGGGACCCGAGTAACCTGCTGAGTGAATAGCCTCCAAAAGTACATGTTGAGGATTTTTCGAGTACTCACTAACCTCAGCACTCACCTTGTGGAGCTGTAAATGACATAACCATATTTTATTAAACAACCTTGAAAATTTGAGCTGCAACTTCTAAGATGAAGGAGACAAAAGATACCTGTTCGCTAACCTCCCAGTCTAAAAAAGCAGGGTTCCTCACACAGTCAACAAGGAGCTCGACCATTTGAGGAACATAAGTCTTCAGAGCATCGTAGGTGTAACTCATATGCTCCCTAGAGACTGAAGAAGTCACATTGCCACCAATTGCCTCAACTTCACGCACAATACGCAAGTGGCTCCGGTTAGTTGTACTCTTAAAAGCCATACGTTCTAAGAGGTGCGTGGCTCCAAATGAAGCCGGAGTTTCGTAGATTGAGCCACAATCAACATATAATCCAATTGAAGCTGCAGGGTTCTGATCAACAAATTCAATCGATCATCAGTTTGCAATAACACAGATAGTATACTTTTCCCAAGAAAAGAAAAAAGTCATAATCTTGATACCACTGATGTTTCAGAAGCAATCTTGAGACCATTTGGAAGAGTGGTTATCCTGGTCTTTCCTGGCTCAACATAGTCAGGCAGTGGCGGCGGAAGAGCAATATCCTTAAGAGGGAAGTCTAGAGGCAGAACAGAAGAGGATCGTTCACCCATCAACCAGCTAAAGAAACCACCTGATGTTGATTTGGTTGCAACAGCACTTGTACTTGCAAATCTAGCCAATCCTCTATGCCCCATTCGGCCCTGTGATGTAATTTGATGATGATTTTTATAATGTGACAAGAAAACTTCTCTCAGAGTACTGTTGGAATACAATATATTATGATCAGAGTGAAAAAAAAATCAATGACTACTTTATGGACATAATAACTGTAATCTCTGTGTGATTTAAAAGAATGTGATTTCATTCTCATAAATGGAACTGGAAGATTCTATATTCATATTAAAACAAACAAATCCAATCTTCAAACTTACAAGTAGCATACGTACACCTAATGAACACCAGGCCAAATTTTCCCTTCATTTCGTGCAACTAAACCAAAGAAAAAAAGGCTCAAGAATTTCAAAAGGAAAAGTAATCACTGTAAAATAATAAAGATTAGATATTTATCCTTTTAACCAGCTTCCCAATTCTTAAAATCAAGCATTAAGGTAAAAATTAATCATCTTTTATCAGAAACGCACCATATTTTTTCAATGCAAATAAATCCACAGAAAAAAATATATATACATCTTTTTTTATGATATGCAATACAAAATGCATCAATCACCAAATATTCGAACTACACCAACCATCAGATCTAACTTCTAAGCAATAAATCACAAATAGACCGACAAAGATACACATACACATACATATACAAGTGACCAGTGAGAGTGAGAAATCGAGTGAAATCGTGCGTGTAAGCAAGTACTTGGAGCTACGATTAAGAGCGGAAGATCTGACCTTAAGAGCCCTAAGGCGAGAAGCTGTGGTTCTATACATGCTGAGAAGGCGATCGTCGATAGGTAACTGAAAATGAAAAGTGATTATCCGAAGAGATTGCGAGGGCTAGGGATTGAAAAAGTTGCAGTGAAGACTGCAAAAACGAGAAGCGGTTTTTAGTTTCGATTTCGAGTATTTCAGGGAGGGGAAAAGGGTACAGGAGATCCCGACTCGTGTGATGCGTTTACACGTGCGAGGTCAATATTGATTTTCTATAAACGCGTTTTGTTTGTCATTTTAAAAACAAGTTTGATTTGATGTTATGAAAAATTGATATATAACATTTGTGGATGGTAGATTCTATAATTGAGAAAATCGAATCGGTCAAGCCACTAGCAATCCTGTGAAAAAGTTGAACGAGGATGTCTTAAGAGGACACCGGTGTAGTGCTGGGTGAAGACCCTCCGACGGTCAAGTCAGTAAAGCTTCTCAAGGATTATACGAATGTTAGGTGAAAAGAAAGAAACAACAACTTAGAGTATGGTAGTATTTTTTATACCTGAACGTAAGACTGATCACGGTGTTTATCGCAGTGGGATAATCGTCTAGGCAAGATTGGCAAGGACTCTCTGCAAGATTATGGCTGTTCGTGGGTCGGTTCGGTTTGGTTCGATTCTGAAGAG